TTTTCGAAAGTTTTATCACTTTTTGTTTATAATTGACATTTTTACAGCAACTTTAAAAAATTGACGTTTTATACCGTTTTTTCAATCTCACGGCTTTGTTATTGCAAATTTCGTAATCGGACCACCGCCATTTTGTAGCTATTTTTATTACGAACAAAATCATGTCCTAAGCATTTTTTCGTACAATGTCATCCCGCTGAGTTATTTAAAGAAAACTACTAAAAAAAATTTTTTTCACGATTAAATTGTTAATAATTTTTTTTTCCTGATAAAATACTTTGTCAGCAAATTAGCCTGTTATTGTACTCATCATTTAAAGTAGGCCTGTTTAGTTATTTCCGAGTTATCAAGGTTTGACACAGGCCGAATCTCTACGAACTGGACTAATTTGACGTTAAGAAAATACACTACTACATTCCACTGTTTCCTTCTGAAGACATTTTCTGTTATTAAAGAAGTTGTTGCTTTTAAATAAGAGATGCCTTAGTAGCTCCTTTGATGTCGTAGTTCACAAACATCTAAAGATGCGTCAAGACCATTTTAAAATTATACGACTTTTATTATGATTATTAAACTATGTCGGTTTTTGAAACCTCAAATATTTTAGATTTTTGTCAAATTTTAATCTAATTTGTTATGTAACCCGAACCACATCATTCGTTTAACATTACTGTACTATTTTGTTGTCATAATATTCGATGTGGTTATTTACATTACGTCTATTTTTACTACATTGTATTCATATATGTTGGGCCCATGTTTTAAATTTGCCTGCACGTGTTCAGAACGAATCAAATAACCAACAGAACAAAATTATGTAATACGTGGAAATCGCTTCCGAGGTAATTATAAGAAAAACATATATGTAATGATCTAGGCATATTATTTGCAAATTAGTATTGCGTGTTCAGTTCTACGGTTTAAAATGCACTTTCCATGGGTGTATTTTGTATACCGGGTACCGGGTGATATGCCTAAATACAAGAATTTTCTTAAAAAGACATCTATTCGAAATTCATAAACATGTGGATAGCACAAGTTTATTTTAAAAAATTCAAACTGCATAATTTTGTGGACCATGGTGTTGAAAACTGATTTACCTAGGTAATAATTTTAGGTATTTTAGAGATATTCAAATAAAACTTGTAAGAGGTTTTGCGCTAGTTATTTTTTCCATCAATTGCTAATTAGCTGCAGTTCCTTAAACTTTACTTATTTTCTACAAAATGAAGGAAAATTGCGTCGTTTTTGGGTTCTGATAGATAATGTCTTTTTTTTAATTTTGACTAACTGGTTATAGTAGAGGTTAAAGCTTGGTAAAATGTAATAAATATTTATTTAAAACGGTTTTGTTGTGACTATGAATAAAAACATTTTAAATTTAGCTGTCGATTGCGTTAGCATAGCAATAAAATATAAATGAATTTGTGCTTTACAAATTTTCCAGTTCTGTTTGATTTGAAAACAAATGTCGGGGGTCAGAGAGAGTTCATAGAATCTCGTAACAAGGGATAACCTATAGTAATAAAAATACAAGTTTTGTTTGATTGACGTATTAATATTTAAAAGGCAGTAAAATTGTTACTTGTGGTGGAATTTACATTTTTTTTTAAATAGAAATTGTTTTAAATATTTATCTTTATGTAATTCGTGAAGATTGCAGTATAAAGGTGTAATAAAATTTTATACAGGATGTCAAAAAGTACAAAAAAAAATTAAAAACGCTCCTTCAGAATACGCAACTGCGCGGAAATTTCGGTTGCCACTATCGAAAAAATTAATAAAAATCAACCTTTCTGAGAAATGAAACAACCCTGCATACAATTATACACAGAATATTGAATTTTTGACACATATATACGTAAAATTGCAAAAAATACTAAATTAAAGATGTAATTTTACACATGTAATCGTGACAGTATCGGGAAGCTCGAAATCCTAACCTCAAAAAAGTTGTGACTTACCATATTTCAGGTTTGCAGCATAATAAAAGCCCTGTATAACTGGATTTAAAAGATAATCCACTAATTGAAAAACAAAATTACTATGAATCTCTCAAAACATGAGCGTTCCAAAGGACCCCGCACAAATCTTATGGAAATTGGGTCCCGGTCAAATTCGCTGAATTTTTGATATGTGATAGAGTTCATCATACTGGTCAATTGTCTCAATGGCCACAAAGCTCAAAAATGGATAGTTTGGCCGGTACAGAGCTTTAAAGCTCCGAATATCCTCCACGGATTTATGTATATGCGCAGTGTGTATAGACTTTTGAAATAGCCTATTTCATTTTTTTTATTATCTAGGTTTATATTTTTGAGGTTGCTGAATTCAGATCTGTTGTTAGATTTTCAAAATTGACAGTTGGCAGCTGTCAAATAGCTGTCAATGTGCTATAATAAAGCCAAAAACTTGTTTTTTTATGTTTTATCTTTCTTTTTTTTTAGTTCGATAAGTTCAAAGACGATATCAAATCAATAACAATGACTATCGGCAGCTGTCATTTAGCTCAAAAAAAAAGAAAGATAAAACATAAAAAAACAAGTTTTTGGCTTTATTATAGCACATTGACAGCTATTTGACAGCTGCCAACTGTCAATTTTGAAAATCTAACAACAGATCTGAATTCAGCAACCTCAAAAATATAAACCTAGATAATAAAAAAAATGAAATAGGCTATTTCAAAAGTCTATACACACTGCGCATATACATAAATCCGTGGAGGATATTCGGAGCTTTAAAGCTCTGTACCGGCCAAACTATCCATTTTTGAGCTTTGTGGCCATTGAGACAATTGACCAGTATGATGAACTCTATCACATATCAAAAATTCAGCGAATTTGACAGCGACCCAATTTCCATAAGATTTGTGCGGGGTCCTTTCAATATGATACGTTAATTATTTTTGGAGATATGTATTACCAAAATTCGTTAAAAGATAATGAACTGTAACTGATGTAACTTTGAAAATAAAAGCCTATGAATCTGTAGTTCATAGAAAATTATATCATTTTGTAATATTCTGTTACTTCTAGAATTTATGGTAGGTTATTCTGAAACATCCTGTATATGATAAAAACACAAATTGTTTTTGTTTTTTCTGTTGGTATAGAAGTTATTGAGCAGGTATAATTAGTATCAGGAAATCGCCTTGCAGGAAAGTAAATGAAATGTACCTACGATGAAGTTGAAAGCAGTGGCGTAGGGTAAACCAGGGCACCGGGGTCACAAAAGAATGAAGATAAATGCACGGATAGAGTTGAAAGGAGGGGAAATTTGTACAAACAAGTAGCTAACAAAATTTTACCGTACACGTAAACAAATTACGTTTAATAAGAAAAAATAGGGTGAATAACTATTATTTGGTCATGGGCTGACTAAAGAGAGCTCAAATTGCATATTAAATATGCGCTACTCCCACTCTGTCTTTCACTGTTACGCGACGGTAACCATGACCACCGCTGTAAACACTACAGATTTAGGTGCGAGCTACGAGGAGCCCACGTATTCAGTGTTTTTGAAATGAATTTTGCACATTACAAATTCAACATTTCCTTTTCAGTGTTTCATATGGCTAATCTATGTAATTAACTAGATAATATTGTAAACTAAATTTTAAAAGAAATTATTTTACCGTAAAAATTTGTAGAAGGGGCGGCGCAACTGTTCAGGCGTCAACGACAAAAAAATTTTAATTTAGTTAACCTTGACCTTTTGAGAAATTTTTGATTAAAAAGTGGTTTGAAACATATTTTTATTTATGAAAAATTAAAAACGGCGAAAAACGGAAACATTTTCCTCACTTCTATTGATTTTTTAATATCTTATAGAGTTATTTACCGTCACGGGAATAAAATAGTAGGTACCTATATAATGTATCGTAAAAAAAGCTAGCGACATATCAGGCTAAAATCGATTATTTATTTTCCTTGTGTAATAAACTATTTTTGTGTAGATAAAATTCCATTTTCATATAGGATATCTAAAAAAAATTGATTTTTTTTTATGTATTAATCTTTTTCTTTTATGCATACGAAGAGAAATTCGACCTACTGTGCTTTGCTTATACATTTGTTTTCTTTTTGTTTCATGATGTTTCTAGAATACGTTCTGTTTCTTTCTATTATGTTCTTAGAAGCTAGAGATTTTTCGATACTGTTCTTAGAAATCCAAGGAGAGGTTAAGTTATTTGTTATTGCAAACTGTCAAAATTTGTAAACTGTGGGTATAAAAATTGTGTTAAATAAAGAAAATTCGGTACAGTATATATGTACCAAATAGTATTCATTGTTGTGTAAAGAAACCTTGAAATTTCAAATTTTGAAATAATACCGCGCAAAAAAATATTTTTTTACTCTACAGTCCCTCATCTTAATCCGCCTGTAATGTTTGGTGTTTAACTCTAGTTTTACATTGTGAGGCATAAAAAGTTTTGGTACATGTGCAAAATTCATCATCATCGTCACATAAAAAACGTCTTAGCAACCTCTTCCTAAAAAACCTAGGTACATATTGTTTTGGAACACCCCGTATTTTATTTTTTGAGAAAGATATAGGATAATAGGTCCCCAAAAATGTTTAGCTCTTCGGCTCTGCTCGAAAGTTGCAATATCTACCTATTGTGCGTGCCATGACGTTATTACGTATTTTAAGATTTCACGCGGGTTACGTCTACTACTATTACGCACGTCTTGCGTATGAAAATGAAACAATTTTAAACGAGAACGGCACCGGCTGCCCTATATTCCCGCGCCGCTTTACGCAAACGGGCTGTAATGCATTTATAATTAAACACCAGATCGCGAACAAGATTATAAATTGTTTTTTTTACACGATCCAAATAAACGCCCCTGCATGATGCAACTGATAACCGGAATCACTTCTACCATTTAATTTCCCTTGATTCGTGTACTAAATCCGGACAAATTTCATAGCAACATTACATAAATGGATTCACAAGGCCAACTAGTTTTATCTCTGTAATCATCTCTTTTTTTTAGGCTAGGACGTAGCGCGAGCTGCAGACACCGTTGTCCACGCTTTTGTTTGGGTAAGCACAAGAAAAGTTTTAGCGTTTAATGTTTAAAAAAGTATGTTTTTACTTTTTCATTCATATCTATTTCTATCTCAATTTCATGGCCTGCTATGTTCATAAAACAAGAAAATTAGTAGGTTATTTGAATTGTACTTCCTTATTTTCTAATAAAATTTTATTTTCGTTCTGCTTACAGGGTGTCTGTTTAAGTAAGTTCAATTGAAGTTTAAAATACAGATATTTAGATCTTTCTTTATAAAGTCCAAAATTCATTATATTGAGGTATTTTAGTCTAGAGTGTAACTAAAGATGGTCTCATACAGAATGGTAAAAAAAATGCGTCAAGTTACTAATACGAGCACTAGCAGATCCAGAGATGGACTTTGGGCGGGTATTTGTACAGTTGATGAATAAAAAATAAATAAATAAAAAAAAGTAAAAAATAAAAAAAATCATGCAATCAAGAAAACAGAAAATTCTTAATCTTTATTAATTTAAGTATTTTAAAATTTGAAAACAATGAAAAGGTTATGCTGTCAAGAAAACTGAGACATTTTTTAAAAATATTTTTTTTTTGTTTGATCTTACATATTTTTTTCGAGCATTTGGTGGGGGGGGGGCTGCTAAGGAGAAGTATTATTATTAAATATTACAAGCAAAAATAAACTTAACGGTAAATAATGAATTGCCTAATTTTTCTATTTTCTGTATTATTTAAGTAGCATAATATACTAATATTGAGAGGAATTTGAATTCTTTGATAGCTCTGTACAAAGACCATCTGTTGTCACAAATTTCAAAATGGCTCAACATAATGAAATATGGACTCTATACAGGGTCCTCCAAATATATGTTTTGTAATTACCTAGAAATTATCGATACTTAAAATCTAAATAACTTATCAATCAGTTTTTTTTAATCCTCAATACGATTTTATACTTTTTGACAAACACATCGAAAACTATGTTGAATATCAAATATTTTTGAAAACGTTGTGCTGCATAAAAGGAACCCACTGTATATGTATATTTATATAAAACATAAATGAAAACAAATAAAAATAAAATATAAAGTACAATACTATATTTTATTTTTTATATTGTTTGAAATTATTTATTTCTGGTATAGTTGTTGTTTTTCTCTTATTTATTAGAAATTTTGTCACCTGTGAAAAAAATTAAAAAATTAATAAAATAAACTCTTGCCCCAAAAAGGTTATTTTTGTGAAAATAGTTTTCTCTAATCAAAATTATTACACTGAAAAAAAACCAGACAAATACAAAATACAAAAAACAACACTTTTGTTTTTCTTGTTTTTGAAAGACCTCTATACCTTATAAATTAGAATAGATGAGCACAAAGATTACATTAAAAAGCGATAATTTCAGAAATTAAATATTAAGTTAACGATTAAAAGAGATCACGATTATTTTGTTTAACGGTAAAATATGCTTCACATCATTCTGTGAACTTGGATCCTTATTGACTACAAATTCTAAAATAAAAATATAAGTAATAATAGAATACTTAAACATCAAATGATATCTCTAATTATGGAAATAGGCAAAACAAATTTAAACAGTCAAAAACAAATTAAAACCAAAACTTTTGAAGTGATATAACGTATTTTTTGTATTTATCTGTTTTTTTATTTCAAATTCCTGCATAATCAGAACATGTAGTAATAAAAATAAGTCAACAACACTTTAAAAACATGTATATTGCGAGGAATGATATAAGACCGGAAATGATTTTCATCAGTCATCACCATTTTTGATTAATCTCGTATATTTTAACTGCAGCGGAAAATATTTTGCATTCTGAATCCAGAAATATATAATTATGTTATACTTTTGACATTTCCTGTGCCAAAATAATTAATATAATAAAAATTTCCATTTATAACGTAGTTGTTACAAATTCGCAGTGTGCTGAAAAATAATTAATTATAGAGCCTTCACAAATGTTTACAAGCCACGTGACTGCCGAGCTTAGGCAACCAACATTGCGCGGCTGGTATTGTCAACTAAAAATCCATAAGTTTTAACGTCAACAATATTAATGATTCATTTACGATAAACAATGACAAACCGTTACGTTCGAGATAATGCGATCGTTGATTAATTGAATAAAATCGCCAGCCGGTAAAACAGAATGTGGTGTTTTAACGTAGTATTTATCTTATGTTTTAATAATTTCTAATTTTGACGGAATTTAGTTGCCAACGCGAAGGAAATAAAATTATTGTTCCAGACAAAATTACTGGTTATGTCGCTTGTAATCATTTATGAAAGCTCTGAATTACATCTAATAGAATCGCTGACATTTAAATTGCTAAAAATATGTCATGCTTTCTCTAAACAATAATTGTTTCAGTTTTTTAGAGATCACTATTTGAAAGTAAGTCTATATTCCAAAATTTATTAAATTAAATTAAATTGTTTTCTGGCGTTACTCATTGTTGTTACCATCGTTTTTATTATAGTTATACTCCTTGAACGTTGTTACGGTTATAAAAATATGAGAATTAGTTTAGGAAGGAACTATACTATGATTACGAAGAACACACCCACGGACTTACAAAATTACGTCCATATTTGTTACTTTCAAATTGATCCTGCGAAGCGTAGAAAGTCAAACAGTTGTAGCCTAAAACAACTTTTTTATTTAGGCTCGAGTTTCTCAAATTGGTGAAAGGTTCGATGATCGTTTATTACATTCCCACGTACGCCTCAGATGATCGCCGATTTCCTTCCTATTTGATAATTTAAATTGATGATGTTCGAAGACCATTCTTAATATAGTAGAGAATATTTAAGTTTTTATTGGATGTTATGCGACTGGTCTTCTTTTAAAGCATCGGAAGTTCTTTAATTCGATTCAATCCATTTTAAATATTTAATCCTCTATTATTATTAAAATAATACGGTTCGAAGACTTAAATGCATTAGATTTTTAGCAAATCGATTGTTAGTCAGCATTCAAAACTTTTACGGTAATGAATATCTAAAAATTAAGAATTATTTCTTATATAACAATCTATTTCATAAAATTTTTAATAAGGGTGTAATTAAATAAAATCAATACCTGTGAAATTTACGCTGGACATTTTTGTTAGCTGTTGAAATTCAGCAAAAGCGTTTTAAAAACGTATGCTTCAAGCAAATGCAAGCGGTTGGAAGTGCTTGAGTATGTTATACGGCAGGGTTGTCTATATGCCCGAGTGCAATAAGCAACATGCAATATGTAATAACAGAGTAATTGGAATTTTTTCACATTTTATTAAATATTTTATCTTAAAATTACATAAAATCCATATGGATAAGTAAACATAATATCTATATTTTTACAGTAAATGTTCAATATGATGTCCATTGTTGTTCAAGCAGATATTAATTCTCCTTTTCATATTATTAAATACATTCTGTAAAACATTTTGTGTAATACTTCTAATTTCGTTTGTAATTGCCTCTTGAAGTTCTTCAGTCGTGTGTAACCGTTAATAGTCTAGAGGTGTAAGGTCAGGAGAACGTGGTGGCCATCTATCTCGACTCATTATTCGATCATCATAATATTCTCTAATCAACTCCAAAGTCTCGTTGTGTGAGCTATTGCGCCATCTTGCTGAAAGTATCCATGATGGATTTCATCGTCGTGAAGTTCCTCAAAAAATGGTAACAATATTTGCTGCCATATACCTGCCCAGTTACATTTTCACGGAAAAAATATCGTCCGATTATTCTTCTACGTGACCCGAACACCAAGTTTACTAGGGTGCAGAGTTGTACACGTTTTCCAAAATCTAACGGAAGTAGTTCCTGCACAACACTAACTTTATATGGATGAAAATGCAACTTCGTTACTGCTTTATGGCATGATCCATATGATATTCCTATAAACAATTTAGGAATAATGATACAAATTTTAAAATAAATATTTGTTATTACCTGTTTGAGCAGATAACTGATGTAATGATTTGGTTGCACTAGCCCGTAAGCGGTTTTCGACATCTTCTAAGATGGAGATCCACTGTTATGGAAAAAATTTCATAATCAATTTCATCATTTGGAAATTGACCTTGAAATTGTAAATGACACGAATTCATCGAATATTTCCAACCATTATCATTGTTTTGTCCACTACGAAAATAGACCTCCAAAAGAAATTTATCATGTTCTAATGAACATGCCATGTTCTTTACCTAAAATTAAAAAAACGATTAGGTTAGGGAACAACATACGCAATAAATTAATTACTCACGTATAATATCCACCTTCTCTAACTGTAGTGTTGAAAAATACTGTTTTGTAATGTCGGAAAATATATCAGGTAACAACAAAATCTACAAAATAATATCCAAGCCAAAAAATCCGTGCGCCAATGAATAGAACGTCAAATTGTGAAATCGCCACAGAACACCCTGAAATCGAACAATTGACATTGGAAGAGAAAGTAATTTTAGCAAACGGAAATCAGTTTTGATAGCAATAGAGACAGGGTACGTTCAGAATCCGTTCAATAATTTTGGATCTCTGTACTATCATCACTCACGTCCATACGTTACTACACGGGTACCACGAAACTGACACTATAAGACGAATGAAATGGGCCTCAGGTTCCCCGTGTAAACACGTTATTTTAACCGTCTCACGTGGTGGGGGAACCATAGCATATTTATAGGCAAGTGTGACGCGCCAGGAAATTGAAACCTCACTGTGGTGGGGAATAATAACAGTATTCATATTATGGAATATGGAAGATATTACACATTAAAAGTAGGCATTAGTAAGAGTCATGGGGATGTTTTTGTATACGCAATTTGAGTATCTTTCAACAATTTAGGTTAATAGTAGAATAGTAGGTATTACAATATACGGTGTGAGAGCCCGAGGCCCGACCTCAGTTGCTTCATACGACGAGCCGCCACTGGTATGTACATCAAAAAAATTACTGATCGAAGTTCGGAGATTGAGCAATAATGATAATAACCACAACTTAGTTAGCGGCTGTTCATT